CCTTCTCTCTCTCTCTCTCTCTCTCTCTCTCTCTCTCTCACCCACACCTTAGATCAAGTCTAATTGATTGATAAGAAGCACTCCAAGAACTTCCAACTCTGTATCGAGGGAAAAACAAATGTTCACAACGCAACATAGAACCATCATTACCCTTCGCCAGGCGACTAGAATCTAATAGCCAACAAACTTAACCTAAATCCACAGAAAAAAAAGAAAAAACAAGAAAGACCGAAACCCCATCTCCCTCAAACCTGAAAACTTCTAATAATACATGATAACCTGCGTCATAATCATCTGAAATGCAGCCATCTCCAACCAGCAGGAGCTATCACACACTCTCTTTACATGGGTCACAGGCTTACAAAGCTGAAACAAGAGCGAGAGCCCTTCTGTGCACCAACCCTCAAAACTCGAACAAGGGAATCCCCAATGCAAGGTGATTATTCCCTTTCTTCTCTCTCTCCCCCAAGGTGTGGTAGTAAATAATGTAAACTTGGATAAATACGGGCCATGTTACACTGGTTGGGTTTTTTGGGTGGTGGGGGGGGCGGTAGGGGGATGTGGGTTAAGTGGGGTAGAAAGAGAGAATTATGGGTCTACAAGAGGGGGGTCAAAGTTGGGAGAAGAGAGCGGTTAGGTGAGGGTAGAGAGGGGGTTATGCGTCGGAAAGACCGAAAAGCTTGCCAGAAAATTAGATGATATCATCGCCATCATCTCCTTCTTGTTGATCATCAGAGGCAGGTCCAGCATCTCCAGCCAGGGGGTCTGCATCCGAGCCCTCCCCCCGGCCTTCTCCAGCACCTTCATCCTCAAAGTGTTGAGCCCCACCATATTGTTGGTTCCTCCACCCTCCCCTCTCTCTATCTACTGACTGCCCATGTGAGAAAGGATGCTCTCCCTCCTCTGTGTGAAGCAAACAGTTTCACTGTTAAGGGCTAAAAGAATTTGAAAAATTCTAAAAGAAACAAGGGTGCGGTTTGTATAGAGCCTAAGCTCTAAACAATCAAATTTGAGCCTACCTTCAAATAGTATCGAAAAATGTGGTTTCAATATTGGAAATCTTAGTGATAGCCTTAAAATATATTTTCATCTTTATTTATAAAGTTTAAAGCTTCAAAAATAGTGTAGATCGACAGATCTATGAAAACTTGAACGTCTTGAAAATTGACAGTCCAAAAATGTGCTACAAAATACCTACTTCCAAAACTTGAAATCCATTTTTTTCTCATGTCCATGCATCTTGATGTTGAGATGATCAATTTGAAGAAATTTGGGCATCAAAACAACCTCTTCTAGTGAAATTCTTAAGGTAGGCTCTAATTTGATTGTTTAGAGCCTCGGCTCTATATAAACTTTTCCCAAGAAACAAGGACTCCACTAGCATTGAAATAAAAATTTAGGCCAACACAATAAGGAAAAAAGAACAATGAAAAAGGTATGGGTTTAGTAGCCAATCCAAACAAAACCCATTAGAAATAACAATGAAATAAGATATGCAAAAAAAAGAGACTTTTCCATCAACAAACCAATTTCATCTAATATTTACTTGTCCGAATCCTTACCATCAAATGGAAGCAATCGTGTGCACCAAAGGACTACAGGACTCAAAATCAACCAACAGCGCACTTGTATGAACTACACCCTGAGATATTAGGGCTGAGAATTTATCAGGCATGAGACTTCTGACTTGCTTGGCAAAAAAGGAGTGGGGAAGTTAGAGCTTACTATAAGGGGCATCATTCCATTCCATTCCACTAAGAGCACTCATTTTCCAGACAAGGTTTTTCTTTTGCAATTTCAATTTTTACACGTGCTGCATCCTGTGACTAATACAATTGTACTTGCGGAGTAACCAATCAAAAGAAATAAGTTAAAATAAGCATATGCTCGTTAAATTATCTTCAACTGAAGGTCATTGTAACTCGTACTCCTCCCTCCATTATCAAATGAATGGTTGACAAAGGGGATTATATTACATAAATAGAGTATACTGTTTCTAGCTGTCTATACTAATAGTCTCCATAGCATGTCTCATTGAAGGACAATGCAGATGAGCCATTACTCTCGAGACAACAATGACAGAGGACAGGGTCACCATAGTTACTGGGATCTCCCAACTTGGTGGCAATCCCAGAGATCCCAGGGATCTTAGGTGGATATTGCTCCCATATGGGAGGGGAAAATGATCCCAATCCCTTGGAGGTCAACCAATAAATCACATGCTGTTAGATTGCTCATTTATAAGGAAACAAATCTTAAATACATATCCAATAAAACAAGAAAGCAATTGTGTTACTAAATAATGTTTTATATATTCTTCAAAGAGAAAAAAGATGCTTTTAGCAGATGGTATCTAACTTTTAGAATTTATCACGTCATCTTAAAATGTTGGGATCCAACCCCTAAAACTTAGGATATACCAAGGTTTTAAAAAACGGACTGGTGACTAGGATCGTCCCCCAGGATTTCTGATCCAGTTCGGCTGATCGATAATCTGGTCTAACGATCTGAGAAATTTCAAAGAAGCAAAAAAGAAATTAAGTGGCGCTGATTCTGGCTGGTTCCCTAACAAATAGCGAACCAAAAAATTTACAAAAACTAAAAATAATAATAATAATAATAACAACAATAATAAGTGGGGGTAGTTCTGGCTAGTTCTCTGACAGAACTCGTTAGTTATGTCAAAGAACTAGATAGAACTGGCCCGAACCAGCAAGTTCCAATCATTAAAAAAAATAAGAAATCTAAAAAATAGTGGGGCTAATTCTAACCGGCTATCTGACAGAACCGACCGGTTCTGTCAGGTAGAATTGACCATAACTGGTTGAACCGGCCGATTCCTCATATTTTACGGAACCTAGATTGCGATCGATTCACAATTTGGGATGGCCAGTTCCGATCCGCATCGCCGATTTTTCAAACATTGGTATATACAATCAATGATCCCAACCATCTGGAGTTTGTAGCCTATCATGATCCCATGTTCCCGATGATCGCAACAACTATAGTTATCACAACTATGAATTACTGAGAATAGACAATGGAGACCTACATCTCGCATACAATCAGAAAAACTACATGTAGCATGATAGCATCCCCTTTTTCAAATTAACAAGACTCCCTAAAAACTACATGTTTCTAATATCTCAATATGTATGGAGAGAGTCTAATGAATAGGCGAATGCTAATGCCAGAGAAGGGGTGTCCAGAAATTCACTGTTAGTCTTTCAGAACCCCCATGATCCTCACCATGCAAACCCCAACTTACTTTATGTTTTTGCCAAAAAATGTATCCTTTTGAGAATCACAATTCCTATACTTTTTAACTCTTATTAAATGGACTACTAACACCATCATTAACCATAATAAAGATAAATAAGTAAATCCATGTTTCTGAAAAGGCAGAAATATCCCTTTGCTTGAAGAATGCATTTTCTTTAGGGAAAGTATAGAATGAGACCATTTACCTTTGGTACAAGGGGGTCACATTAATCTGGATCATTGCATGTGAAATTCGGTGGCTGCAATTATTTCATTGACCAAGTTCAAACTTCAAAAGAAATTTTCTCGAACTTTTGACACATCGAAGCTATCAAATTTCACATGGTTGTAAGTAATTGTGATCACCTTGTATCGAAGGTAAATTGTCTCATTGTGTACAATCCCTTTTCTTTAAGGCCTAGGTAATTAAAAATTAAAAAAAATTTAACAAAAAAAAAAAACGTCATCGAGAAAATACTTTGGCCATAGGAAATCTCGATCGCTCTATAATCAAGTTCCACCAGAAATTTGTAGCTCAAAAAATGGTAGAGATCTTGCAGACCCGTGAACACTAGAAAATGGATGGTCTAGATAATGTGTTATAATATAAGCTATTTTGAGGACTTGAAATCTATTTTTTTTGTTTCACAACCATTATGGTCAAGATCGAGATGATCGTTTTAAAGGTTTTACGATGCCGGAACTGCAATTTTCCATGAGTTTTGGGGTGAGGCTTTACTTATTTTGATAGGACTGCAGCTCTATCAAAACATTTTCCTTTTTTCAATAGAGACAAAAATATCCCTCTATTGACAGGAGACAAGCATCCATTCTAGTGATATCTACCCATCTAGAAATCTTTATTCCCACGTTCAAAAAGAAGTCCATGTCCATGAGATTAGCTGGCCTCATTAAGGGTTTCAGAATTATGTGGGAACCTCTTGTAAGATCATACATTTTCGCTATTCCAAAAAAAGGCACATAATTTGTGCTCCCTCAAGGATTTTACACTTGTTCCTTCGGAGTAAATGAACAATTTATGAAAGATTTTTTAATACAAAATTCTGGGATCCATTTTAAAATCAATAGAATTCTCATAAAAAAGAAAAAAAAAACTTTTGAGTTCCTAAACATCTAAATCTGGGTTTTTGTTCAATCCTAGGAGACGATTTGTTTTTAAGGCACTTCTAGAGTGCATACTAAGCTATATTTTTTTTCTTTCTTTTTTAGATTAATCGATGGGTTGCGGACCCCAATTAATTCGGATAAGGCTTGGATGACAAGGATGATGACGTTAGTCGTTGGGTTGAGTGGGTTAAATCCCCAATATATTTGGTCCGAACAATGAATAACAATTTGGCCGCCTTGCCACCTAAGTGGTTTTTTTCAAAAACACCTAGTCGCAGGCAAGGCGGCACACTCTAGGTTGGTCCAGCTAGGTGCCGCCTCGACTAATGACAGAAAATGCCATTCAGGAAATGTCTAAATCGTAATTTTACCCCGTAAAAGGAGGGGAAGGGGTTTTAGGGGCTACTTTTACCCCCAAAAACATTTTTACTGAAGTTTAGAGTGAGAAACAACTTGAAAAAAACTAGATTTGAATATTTGATTTGTTGAGAGATCGAAATTTTTTTCGACCTCCTCGAATGGACACAAAATTAAAGGACATTCGTCCCCAATCTTTTTAAGGCTTATAGTGGTTTTAAAAGAGGAGATTTGGAACACAAACATTTCCGTTTGGCCTGATATTGAATCCACTTCAAGAAGGTTGGTACATTTGAATAGTTTTTATTAGGATTTTTTTTTTTTGGCACAATGTCTAATGAAGTTATTCTTCGCTATTTGTATTTTTTTGTGATACTTTATGATATATTTAATATGTTAGTGTCTATTTGGATTATTATTTATCCATTCTGATATATAGTTTGGATCATTGGGAAAACAATTCAATAAAAAAGTCCATTGCCCTCAAATTTTTTCGTTTTATACAGGAATTTACTTGTATGATTCATAAACCATATTTTCTCTCCCCATAATTTTTTTGGTTAGTTATTTAACAATTGCTTAATGCTTATTAAGTTATTGCATGTGTAATATGTTTTTTTCCATTTTGAGTTATATCATTGCAATTTTACTTTGTATGTTTTACTTATTTTTGGCTTAATAAGAACTCAATATATTATCTATTATTTTTACTTCATTTCCTATTCGTAATTTTTTAGATGAACATTTTGTAATTTTGTTTGGATGACTAATTTGAAGTTTCAAATACTTAACTAGTAGTTGTAAATTAATCTTGCTTTTGTGCATGTATTTACAATTTTCACTTCTTGTAAATATTTTCAAGTTTGACTCTGTTGTTTTTGTGTAATTTTCAGGCTTAGGTGATAAGTTGCTACTTGATACATAAAGATTGTAGGTAAACTATCTTCATCGGCTTCAAGTAAACAAAGTGATCCGGGTTGGAAATATGGATATTGTTCCAACCCCAGTGACAAGAATAGAGTAGCTTCCAAGTTTTGCAAAAAAGAGTACAATGTTGCCATTAATAGATCAAAAAAGCATTTGGTCGGCATAAGAACAGGTGCAGCATTGTCTACTCAAGTCCCTACTGAGTTCAGGAAAGACATGCTGGATGCCAT